CATTGGAAAGCCCTTTCCAAATCACTTACCCAACTTTCAGATGCTTTCCGGTGTGCTCCTTAACATAAGAATTAAAACATAAATAAAATTTGTTTTATATATCCGTTGTATTTGCTGAACCCAGACTCAAACCAAACTCAATGCCATTGAGTAAATGCTGGCTCACAGTGACCCCACATAGGTTTCTGAGTCTGAAAATGTGCATGAGGGCAGGCAGCTGCATCTTTCACCCAGTGATTGGTGAATTTGAACCACTGACCTTGCTGTTAGCAGCCCAACACCCAAAGCTCAGCACCACCAGGATTCCTTTATTGACCACTTCCTTCATTTCCTCACTGCCTCCTCCAGCCGAGTCACTGCCCCTCTCCTATGGAGACAGGCACAATGCTCTCAGAAATTGTCTCCCTTTCTTTACCCAGTTTGCCTCCCACCTCATCTATTTGCTAATTGGAAATTCGAAAGAATGTTTAAAAGTACACCTCAGATCATAAGTGTCCCACTGCTATAACACTTGAGTGTCTTATTCAGAACATACCCTATACTTCTTTCTTTGGCTTATAAGTAGAGTGATCATGCATTCTGGTTTGCCTAGACATACATCTTTCAAAATTTATCTCAAACGAACCCTTTCCATTCTCAAAGGATCCCTGGTGGCATAATTTAATCTTGTAATTGCAAGAGCAGCACGTTGACGCCACCAGCCTCGCCTGGAGTAAAATGAGACTTTCTACTGTGGTAAAGCGTTACAGTAAAAAAAAAATTTTTTTTAAGAAAAAAACAAAATAGAGTTACAGCCTGAGAAACCATAGGGCATTTCTACTCTGTCCTATATATGAGTCAGAACTGGCTGGATGACCATGAGTTTTCCATTGTCAAAAGTGTCCGTAAGCTCTATTTATAAACCTCTGCTAAAGTCGTATTCTTTGAGAAACTTTCCTTCTTCACATCAATTATAGGAAAACTCATCTATGATTTGCTATCGGAACAGCGCTTTGTTTTCTTTCGAGCACACGTTAAGAGTTTGATGACTTTAATTTACTTTATTGATGCCTAATAAAGGAAATGAGTATTTCTTCTGAATCATAGAATATTGGGATGGATGAAGAAGAGAGGTGTGAAGAACATGTTGGTGATCGGTATTGATTCAATGGCAGTGGGAGGGAAGGAGGGGTGGGACCAGGGAACAGGGAAGAAGCGGGTATATTGAGGGGATTGCAGTGCATACATGGACTACTGACTGTAAAAATGAGGATCTGCTCTGTAAACCTTCACCTCACTCATAGCAAAAAGTTTTAAAAATAAACAAGAATTTCACATTTTGGTATTTTTGTTTAATAATGATTTTATGATTTTACAGCCATACTTCGTTTTCCTTTATATGGACAAACTGGACCCATGGCATTTTCTATTAAGATCAAATAACCTGTGTATTTCTACTTCCCAATGAGCGAAATAGTTACTTGTATCTTACTGCATGTTTGTAATATCACTATACAAAGATGATTCCGTAAACTCGGTCCATTGCTTTAGTAGAGATTATTGTTTTTCTTTTTCTGCTGCTCAAAGGAGCAGCCTAGTGGATTTTGCTTTTTCGAGTGTTGTAAGAGCTTATCCTGGGACTTTCTATAATATTTCTTTCTTTAAAGTAATTATTACACAGCTAGCTTCCATTCCTTTAAGGAGAAATATTAATATCACTAGTCTCCTCTCTTAGAATCCATGTGCTTGTGATGGGATTGCCCGTTTCAATACTTGGCAGACCTGGGCCATGGTGGTTTTTTGACAAAAACGGCACATACATGGTTTGCAGATCTAAAATTCAGTGACGGAACTCAGGAGATAATTGTGTTAATTAATGAAAGCATGCTTTTCTTTATCAAAGTAGAGAAGGGAGGTCTAACCCTCACACAAGGCGGGCTGCTGAGTATGTTTAGTGAAGGCAAACCGAAGTCGATTCAAGATGGGCCCGCTAAGGACTTGTATCAATCCAAACCACGTTTCAAGTACTCTGTTCTTTTTAGAACAACACTGAGAGTAAAGGGAGTACAAATCGACATGCTTTATACGAACTGGAGCTAAATATATTTGAACTCCCTAGGGATGCTTACAATCTCAGCCATTGGTATAAAGATGTGCAGAAAACATCTTATATGAATATAAATGATGGGCATATCAGCGGCCAGAAATTAGAAGGAGAGGAAAATAGAGTGAGAGGAAAGAGGCAAATAAATTACACCCACTCCAAACTGACATGGTTCGGCTCCCAAGCCCAGGTCATTATGTGAAAAATTACATCATTACATAACTAGTGAACAACTGAGAATCTTAGTCCCACATAACCTTTACCATCAAAGCCAGCAGTACTTTTGCATCACACCCAGTTTTCGTAGCTATTGCCAGTGATACGTCTTTAATGAGCAAAATAGGTGGATAGTAGAGTTTTGACTATTGTAGTAAATGTGAAAGGTCGGATAATGTGGTGGTGGATACGTGAGGAGTAGATGTGTGCAGACCAGGATGGAGAATTCAAGGATTTACAAAAGGCCTTGGCAGAAAGGAGAATGAAGGCAGATATCTCTGATAGAATGAGTTAAAATGCAAACCCACTGCCTGCGAGTCAACTCTGATGCACAGTGTCCTCACTCTGCGGTCTTTCGGAGGCTGCAGAATCTTTACAGAGGCAGACAGCTGCATCCTTTCCCTGAGAAACTGCTGGTGGGTTTGAACCGGTGTCATCAGTACTTCTAATAGACTGATAACTAATTTGTATTGAACACTTTACACTTGTTAAAATTAAAAATGTGCTTTTTACTCAATGGAACTCATAGTGACCTCTCCTGTCTCAGCGTTTGATTCTGACTCACGAAGAATCTGTGTGTTTTAGAGTAGACTCTGCTTCCTAAGGTTTTAAATGGTTGTGATTTTCAGGAATAAATTGGAGATCTTTTTTCATCCCCCCTGAGATGTCTCTGTGTGGATTTAAATGGCAATGCAGACACATAGCCATCCTATATGACAGGGGAGAACTCCCCCTATGAATTTTCAAGACTGTAACTTTTTTTTGAGAATAGAAAACCCCATCTTTTTCTAGAGCAGCGGTTGTCAACCTGTAGGTTGGGAGCCCTTTGGGGTTTGAATGACCCTGTCACATGGGTCACCCTTAGGAACCGAGGCACCTCTCCTCTATCCGTCTCCAGGTGGGTCAGCCCACGTGCAGAAATGCCCACATATGAGTACCCTGTGTGTAGACTGTTACCCATGCTACACCGTGCTTTAAGACAAAATTTAATTTATTTATAATTAGAAAGAAATACTTCAAAATATATAACGACATATTTTTGTGATTAATCACTATGCTTTAATTATGTTCAATTTGTAACAATGAAAATACATCCTGCCTAGTAGATATTTACATGATGATTCATAACAGTAGCAAAATGACAGTTATGAAGTAACAACGAAAATAATTTTATGGTTGGGGGGGTCACCACAACATGAGGAATTGAATTAAAGGGCCGCAGCATTAGGAAGGTTGAGAACCGCTGGGCTAGAGGATGGGATGGTGGTTTAGAACAGCTGACCTTGCAGTTAGCAGCTCAACCATGATTCCATCAGGGTTCGGTATAGTCAGTAGGCTATATTTTAATTTAGGACTTCTATGATGAATGAAGAAAAGTAGGACTGGGCCATAAAGGGGGAACAGGAAAGAAAGGAGATAATAAAGTAAAAAGAGGGAAAAAAAACTTTCTTTTCTCTTTTTTTAAGAAAGGTAACATAACTTGCTTCAATACAAATATTTTTAATAAAAAAGTCAAAGTGTACATTAAACCAGGAAATCAATAAATCTGAGTTATATAAGCTTTCTAAATACTTTCTCTACCAACTAAAACCAGCTTATAATAAAACTCTTCATCAAAATAGAGTCCAATTTAGCAAAAACGCCATTTTTACCCAATAGATTAGATAGGGCTTTGTCATTTAAATTAAATTGTTCACCTAAAAATATGGAACGCTTCGCGAATTTGCATGTCAGCCTTGCACATGCGCCATGCTAATCTTCTCTGTACCATTCCAATTTGTGTATATGTGCTGCGGAAGCGAGCCCGGCAATCGTGCTTTAGCTTGGCTTATTGGAGAGGGTAGTCTGTGAGAGGGCCGCTGGCTCTTTGGGACTGGAGTCAGCTGTTGGCTTTCTTCAGAAATAGTTCCTAGAATGGGTTTTAACTTTTTTGGTAATTCTACCCAAGGATCTTCTCACAATGGCACGCAGATACCAAACCTTGTCTCTTGCCGCTGTAGTCTACGACAGGAAAAGGGTTTGATGGGTTTTTCTGCCTGGATAAAGTGTATGTACAGCAGCAAATATGAAACCAAGTCAGGGCAACAGTCACAATTCCCAAGTAAATGTTCCAAAACCATTCTCGTTTGCTTTGCTTCGCAACATAATTCCATGCCTATCAACTGGGTTATTTGATGAGTTTTTCATTTGTGTATTTTTTTGGTGAACCTCATATTTTGCATTTGGAGGTTACTTAAATTTAGCATAACTAAGGCTGTGAGAGAGCTAAATCTTAAAAAGGAGAAAAATAATCCCTTCCAAATATCAGTCAACTGATCAAAGGTACACTACCTTCAAGTGAATTATTCTTTTCTTCCTATTTGATAAATTTTGTTATACTCAAAGTTTACCAGAAACAGAAGCAAAATTGTTTTCTAAAAGAAAAAAAATGTTTTCTAGAAGTCTCAAGGGGCGATGTAATCAAAATTAAAGCTCCAAAGTTTAATGAAGTATTTGAAATGACTGGTACCTAGCTCCTGCTTCACCTCATGCTTAAGTGGGTCTCCAGTAAAGGTTAAGTGAGGTTATTTCATCTTATTAAACTGTAAGATGGACAAGAACAATTGTAGCGCTCTACTTAGATAACTTGTATTAACTCTCTTTGCTTATGGAGATATTTGTAGGATATAAATGAAATGTGTCAAATTGAGGGTGTGGGGCAACAACAAAGCTTGGTCTTCCTGGTTCCCCTCCAGGGGTCGATTGCATTTAGTCCTGTTCTGGCAAATTTGGAAATGGAGGAAATTTCCAGCAGAAGGAGAAACCTCAATGCCAGGAACATTTGGCTGGTTTAGTGGCTCCCTTAAATCGATTGGTGTAGAAACAGCCAGAGAAACTGACTTCATGGGAGTGATGTTAAAGGTGAGGGCATTCCTACACTTGGGAAGCTCACTCTAAGTGAGCTTATGGGAGAAATGGCATGGAGGCCACACCTTACCTCCTCCAGCTGCAGGAGGGAGAAGGAGAATCCAGCTCCATGCCAACTCAAGCTTCATTGCCACAAGGTCAAGGGTAGGCATGCTTCTGCCCTCCATGCTTCTCCACCCTACTAGGACCCCTACCGTTCATTGCACAGCACGCCCCTTCTCCACTGCGTTCTATAACATGTTGCAATGGCCACACCAAACCCACGGACAACACTCATGATTATGGGATTTTATTAGCGAAATGAAGAGATTACCACAAGCCAGGATCAGAAAACAGGAAGAATACAGTTTGTGGACCACGGCAACTCCTCTCCCCAGCGAGCAGCCACTTTTCTGAATCTCTCCGGGCCCCAACTTCTCGGCTACTTGGTCCCTAAGCCTCTGCTTCCATGGGCCAGGAGGCCACCTGCCCCACTATCAGTTGGTATGAGCATGGTTCCTCTACCCACACCTGGGCATGGCAGCGTCTCTCTGCTCTCTTTCACTGCAGGCTGGGATCTCAAATGTGCTCTGCTGATGGGTCTTCTACCTTGATGGCCCGGAAACACTCTCTGTTCCTGCTTCGTTGAGGACCCACTTTTATGCAGAGGAATGGCAAAACGGACCAATCCTCGGGTTGGAGTCCTTTACGCCTATTTGCGTGGGCCTATGAAATAATTTGTTGGGCATAATAGAGCAAGAGTTATCTAAAGAAATTTCTTTTCACTACATGTGCTCATTTGCCTTAAAGGTGGTTTTTTTGTTTTGTTTTAGCAAAAGTAGTAATATGTATGAATGAAAAACTATCAAGGGACTAGACATGCTATTAATTTGCCAAAGTTGCCTTCAGAAGTATTTATTACAGTGCACATTATAGTTCTTGTATGTTACCTATTCATAGATTCATCCATGCTGTCTCCCCCACCTCCCCCCAACACAGTCTATATATTTTTTTATTTAAATGTTGTAATAGCTAGGTGCTTAGTAACCTGGCAAAACACTAGTCTTTCTACCATGGGAAGCTAACTTTTCTGGGAATTTCTCTGTTTCAAGGTCCAAAAGTGATCCCAAATCTCAAATATAACTTAAGGAGAGCACATGCCATCTTTAACGGGACAAAGAGAAGATAATGACAAAGACAGATCACCCAGATGAAGGAGGCCATTAGCACAAGATCATAATGGGACCAGGGATTAACAGACAATGGACAGATGAAAGAGGACATAGGACGACCGAGGCAGCTGTCACAGAAGCATGATCAGCATCAGGTCAACACATCACAGTTACAGGTAGGACCACAGAAACGGACATGGAACCATGGTTAGGAAATGTACCTTATGCTAGACAAAAGACCTCACAAGATGGGTTCAGGATCGTCCTACCAATCCAGTCAGTGCATGACTCAGGATTCCACACCCTCAGTCTATCACTCTCCATCAAAGATACATCCTGTAAGACCCTGGCGAGACTTCCCCTGTCTGGGTTGGTTAGAAGAGTGGGGTAATCTGATTTCTCAGGCACTCTGCCTGAGGAGAAGGCTGTTCACATTCCTGGTTAATAATCAGAAGGAAATCAGTGGTGTCTTATCCACCTGGTCACTCTGCATATGGTTTGGGGCTTTCCTATTACTCCAGCTTTCTGCAGACGGAGGGCTCACGACGTCATCTTTAGTCTGTCTCACAGAGAGCCCTACAGTCGCCTGAGAAGAAGGGAGAATTCCCTTGCTGTCCTGGACTCGGTTTCGACTCATAGCAACCCTGTGTGACAAGGTAGAACTGCCCCTGTGGGTTTCTGAAACTGTAACTTTTTATGGGAGTAGAAAATCTCATCTTTCTCCCAAGGAGCAGCTCATGATTTAGAATTGTCGTTGAGAGCCCAAAGCGTAATGCACTATGCCATGAGGATTCATGAAGGATTAAATAATCTGGCCCCCCCAAAAAGAAGAGTATATAGAAATATTAAAATATTTAAGATGAAAGGATGTGGGTTTGGGTGCTGTGGATTGTCATGCATAGCACCTACAAGAATCCTGGAGAATAGAAAACTGTAGAGTGCCGCTCACTCACTCACTCACTCACTCACTCACTCACTCACTCATTACCATTGAGTCGATGCCAGCTCACAGTGACCCTATAGGACAGAGTAGAACTGTCCCTGTGGGTTTCCCAGGCTGTAACTCTTCAAGAGAGTAGGCAGTCTCAACCTGCTGACGAGCAGCTGCTGGTTTGGTACGGCTGACCGTGCAGAGTGCCACCCAGTGCGTAACCACGGCAGCACCAGGGCACCACGTGGATGGGGGAGTTACATAGTAATTGAGCTGACACTCAAAGGAAAGAAAAACGTTAAGCTGATAGTTTTAAAACCATATTTTAAGAAGTCATTGCTGTATTTGCAGGTGGATTTTTCATTAATTTAAAAATTCATAAATTGTAGAGTTAAGTAAAATATTAAATCACCAAGGCATTTTAATAGAAAAAAAATCTTGAATAAATTCATTAACAAAGACAATAACAATTGTTAAATATCAAAAGCTTTGCTATCAGATATGCATTTACTAGAAATCATCCTATGCAATATTCTAAGATTCATCTACACTGGAAAAAATATGGCCTTCAATAACCTAGCTTTAAAGAAACTATAAAGGAAGGTTTTAAGTATCTTATAAACAAAAAGGACAAACTCCAAAACCAAAGTCTTAGGCAAACTAAATAAGAAATCTGGAATTTACTGATAATATGACTGTATAAATGAATTAAAATGAGTATTTTTAATTTACAAAACACAGACTATAATCAACACAAAAAACATGGACACACAGAAGCTTGCTGTAGTCACAGCCACACAACTATTGTCACTTTGGGCTCCCATCCTCCTTATTTCCCTCCAAAATGCACAGGAATTTCGCACAGACATCGTGACCTGCACACCATTTCATATGCTGGTTTTAATATTTTAGCATATGTTATAATCCAATTAACTATGTGGTTTATCACAAATGAGCAGATATATTATAATTTACTTAATTAAATCCTTAGAGTGGATATTTAGATTGTCATGCCATATGCTTCGAAAGCTTGTCATTTTTATTATAAACATATTTGTATACTTATATTTTATATAGATTAAATGTTATGTAGGTTACCTTGTCCATTGAAAATCCAAAGTTTGTCAAATCATATTTTTGGCAGGTTAAAATGCACTAACTTGAAATAGGAGCCTTTGTCGTGTGTTGTGGTTACATGTTGGGCTGTTCATTTCAAGATCAGCCATTCTCAACCCCAGGAGAAAGACGGGGCTCTCCACTCCAGTCAAGAGTCACAGTCGCAGAAACTCACAGGGGCAGTTCTGTTCGGTCCTGCAGGGCCACTAAGAGGGAGAATCGACTTGAGGCAGTGAGTTTGTTTTTTGGGGGGTATTTGAAATAAGAGGCCTTAGACGGCTAACTGCAAGGTCAGTGGTTCAAAACTGCCATCCACTCCCGTAAAGCTTTACAGCCTTTTTGTTAGGTGTGGTCCAGCCAGTTCCAACCCACAGCCACCCGACGCACCACAGCAGGAAACCCTGCAATGAGGTGGGTCGGGGGCATAGTGTGTAAGCGTTTGCTACCTGAAAAGTGGGTCATCTGAACCCATCCATCACTCCCTGGAAGGAAGACGTGGTAGTCTGTTTGTGGGAAAGATTTGCCAGCTTGGAAACTCTACAAGGCCGTTCCACCCCGTCGTTTAGGCTTGGTATGAGTCAGAATCAGGGAGTTGGGTTAATGCTTGGACAAATTATATTGCTGAAACACCTGTGTGGAAGATATTTTCTAATGACGCTGCTGCCTATGCTGAATGCCAAGGCTGGGTCATTTTTTCATGT